ATGGATAATAGCATCCGAGGCGGATTCATGAATCACAGGTGTTGAAGTATATTATTTCCTAAACTTAAACTCACGGCAGACAAGACGGATGGAAACATCGGACCTATTTTTTCATACTCTAGGAGTCATGGAATGTCGAGAAAACATGAAAAACAGGCATTATTTTCAAAACTCGTAAAAAATCTACGTTCTACTTGAATTCATCTCAAATATTTACTGATTTACTAATTACAACTTAAACACTGTTTAATAAACATTGCAACGCAAATAATAATTATAAAGAAAATATACAGAGTGTTTCATCTAAAACTATACTTCCTCTAATTTTCTGCTTTCCAAGCCATTGCTAACAAGTACGTACTAGTGGTCAGTTTTACCAACCTAACCTAATATTTTCCTGAGATTTTACAGTTCGTCGAATACGAAAAAGCCGGTTTCCACGATGGGTTTTTTTCTAGAAATACGGCTTTACTAAAATATTAAAACTAATAAATATATTCTGACTTCAAACTGATAACCTCATTTCATAACAATTTATTCAAATCTTGGAGAATCCATTCGATAACACTATAAAATGCATGAAAAAACTTGCAGTTTCTCCGAGAGTGAATCCAACTTTCGTTTTTTAAATGGAATTAATTGCTTCCTTTTAAAAGACATTTGTAATTACAACCCACGAAGGTAAAAACAATGGTCAATTTATATGGCAACAACTGTTTCGAGCAACATTAAAAGCAATACCTTTTGCACGACCATTCAGTGGTACCAATCAAGTGAAAAACATGGTAATATTCGTCTGCACCCAAATTCAAGTTGGCAGCAATGAATCTTTTAAATTAGGCGCCACAATCGAATGGTGGATTTCATGGCATCAAATTTAAATAATTGTAGCCAACCTAAATTTGAATGCGGACAAATGACTGAGTATGTTGGCAGTATTTTTGAAATAAAAACGTGAACATTTCTTGCGTTTATGTTGGCATATCAAGTGACAATCTGTCACTCTTTACAGCTGACAACTGGAAATTATAGAAAACACACTGATACCAATTCCAACTAAAAACCAGGATTGCCAACATACTCAACATTTGTGTCACGTAATTATGGATTACACACATCTAGCAAACAAAGTTCTCAAAAAATAGTAAGACAGGTAATCTTCTTTGGAAATCAAAAGTTGTTTTTATTTCCGACGAAACCGAAAGTCTGCGATTAATTTTAAACTTCAGAAGAACAATTTCGATGATGATTCTTTATTAACAGATGAAATGGTTTTATAGTAATTTTGATAGAGTTGTCGGATATGTCATTTGCCGAAATAAGTCTTATCTTCCAAGTATAGCCCCGCCCACCCGCCCTCTGTGTTCTTAGAAGATACGTGATTTGCCAAAATCAGCCTTATCTCACCAAGTACTAGCCCCGCCCACCCACCCGTATTTTCTCAGGGGAGATATCATTTGCCAAAATCAGTTTTATCTGAGCAAGCACTAACTCCGCCCCCATTTTCTCAGAGGATATGTCATTTGCCAAAATAACACTTATGTTAGGAAGTACTAACCCCTGAGAAAATAAAGGGCGGGTGAGCGGGGCTAGTACTTGGTAAGATAAGACTAATTTTGGCAAATCACATACCCTGTAAGAAAAGAGAGGGTGGGTGGGTGGGGCTAGTACCTGCTAAGATAAAACTAATTTTGGCATATCACATACCCTGTAAGAAGAGAGAGGGTGGGTGGGCGGGGCTAGTACTTGCTGAGATAAGACTGATTATGGGACAAGTACTAGTTACTACTTAGTAGAGAGTGTGCATTAGTTACTAAAAACGTACTGAGAGGCCGATAAAAGAGATGGCTATGCATTTTTGAGCCAAAAATTCAACCATATACGAAAGTCAAAAATTTGTAGCTGTTTTTGACCGTGTTTTTATTGCTCTCTCGGTATTATAGCGTTATTAAAAGTATCGAAATTATAAAAAAAAAACCGGTTCTAAAACTTCGCAAAAATCTTCGAATTAATATATCAATTAGTTTGATTAAAAATGCTTCTGTTTAAAAAATGATAAAATTTGATCGAGATTTTTTTTAATAACCTCTATAAAGTAAAAAATATGAATAATAGCATCCGAGGTGGATTCATAAACCACTAGTGTTGAAGTATATTATTTCCTGAACTTAAATACACGGCAGACAAGACAGACGGAAATGGCGGACTTATTTTTTCATACTCTAGGAGTCATGGAACGTCGAGAAAACATGAAAAACAGGCATTATTTTCAAAACTCGTAAAAAATCTACGTTCTACTTGAATTCATCTCAAATATTTACTGATTTACTAATTACAACTTAAACACTGTTTAATAAACATTGCAACGCAAATAATAATTATAAAAAAAAATATACAGAGTGTTTCATCTAAAACTATACTTCCTCTAATTTTCTGCTTTCCAAACCATTGTCAACAAGTACATACTAATGGTCAGTTTTACAAACCTAACCTAACATTTTCCTGAGATTTGACAGTTCGTCGAATACGAAAAACCGGTTTCCACGATGGGTTATTTTCTAGAAATACGGCTTTACTGAAAAATTAAAACTAATAAATATATTCCGACTTCAAAACTGATAACCTCATTGCATAACAATTTATTCAAATCTTGGAGAATCCATTCGATAACACTATAAAATGCATCAAAAAACTTGCAGTTTCTCCGAAAGTGAATCCAACTTTCGTTTTTTAAATAGAATTAATTGCTTCCTTTTAAAGGACATTTATATGTTTTTACAATCTGACCAAGGGTAACAACAATAGACAATTTATATGGCAACAACTGTTTCGAGCAACATTAAAAGCAACGGACCTTTTGCACTAGTCAGTGGTACCAATCAAATGAAAAACATGGTAATCTGTCACTCTTGACAGCTGACAAATGGAAATTATAGAAAACATCCCGATACCAATTTCAATCAAAAATGCAGGATTGCCAACATACTCCCAATTTGTGTCACTTAATTTTGGATTCACACTCTAGCAAACAACAAACTTCTGAAAAAATAGTAAGACAGGTAATCTTTGGAAATCAAAAGTTGTTTTCATTTCCGACGAAACCGAAAGTCTGCGATTAATTTTAAACCTCAGAAGAACAATTTCGAGGATTCTTTATTACCAGAGGAAATGGTTTTGTAGTAATTTTAACAGAGTTGGAGGAGATGTCATTTGCCGAAATAAGTCGTATCTTACCAAGCACTAGCCCCGCCCACCCACCCCTATTTCCTCAGAGGATATGTGATTTGCCAAAATCAGTTTTATCTGAGCAAGTACTAACCCCGCCCGCCCACCCACCCCTATTTTCGCAGAAAATATGTCATTTGCCAAAATAAGACTTGTGTTAGCAAGTACTACCCCCTGAGAAAATCAAGGGCGGGTAGGCCAACATAAGTCTTATTTTGGCAAATTACATATCCTGTGAGAAAATAGGGGCAGGCGGGTAGGGTTAATACTTGCTCAGATAAAACTGATTTTGGCAGATGATATATCCTATGAGAAAATAAGGGTGGGTGGGTGGGGCTAGTATTTGCTCAGATAAGACTGATTTTGGCAAATCACAAAGCTTCTAGAAAAATAGAGGGCGGGTGGGCGGGCCTAGTACTTGTTGAGATAAAACTGATTTTGCCTCAATTAATCTTGTAAAAAAATTGTAAATTTAGAGGTGCTAAATTGCAAATTTCTATAGTAACGAGTTAAATTCCTATATCTACCCGAAATATTACTAGCCCCGCCCTTTATTTTTTTAGAAGGAATATATTTGCCAAAATCAGTCCTATGTTACCAATTACTAGCACCGCCCACCCGCCCCCTGTGCTCTTAGAGTATATATCATTTGCCAAAATAAGACTTATGTTAGCAAGTACTAACTACAGAGTTGTGCATTACTTACTAAAAACGTACTGAGAAGCTTATTAAAATGCGATCAGAGATGGGCATGCATTTTTGAGTCAAAAATTCTATCAAAGACAAAAGTCAACAATCTGTAGCTGTCTTTGACCGTGTTTTTATTGCTCTTTCGGTATTATAGCGTTATTAAAAGTATCGAAATTAGAAAAAAGGTGGTTCTAGAACCCAAAGCGGATTCATAAACCACAAGAATGGAAATACGCAATTTTCTAAATTTAAATACATGTATACTTTAAATGTTGACATTTTTGCGGGCATGACCAGAGAAATTTTGGTGGTAGTTTCGGAGATTATCTGTCTAATGAAAATCGACACAGATGGCAGACAAGACAGACGAAAAAGGCGGACTTATTTTTACGTGTTCTAGGGGTCATGGAACGTCGAGAAAACATAAAAAATTGACATTATTTTCAAAATTCTTTTGGGTTTCTGCTTGAATTCACCTCAAATATTTACTGGTTCACTAATTAAATCTTAAGCACTGTTTAATAAACATTGCAACACTTATCTGTTAACTCAGGTGCATCAGTTATAAAAATAAAATCATACGAGTTGGTTGTGAAATCACTAAAATTCCAAATAATATCGTCCACAACACGGAAAATTGACAATTTTGTCCACGGAACAACCCTATCATACATTTTTCTGTTTTTTCGCACGAGATAGACGTAAGTAAAACCATAATTTTGGGAAAAACTTTTTAAATTTCTTTGAAAGTCGTCGCTCCGGGTTTTTTTTCCCGTCTTAGAACCATTTCCCCCCGAAACTCCCCAAATCCGGAAAAATCCTCCCACGCCGTCTGGCCTGCGTCCACCAAAAGAGAAATTTTTTCGCAAGTGTGTCAAACAACTGGGATGCATTGATATGATGTAACCGAAAAGTAAAAGCCACAGACCGCCTCAAAACCGCTCCAACCTTGCCCAAACTAAGTAACCGATTCATCTACCAATCGCCTTCCCATCTCACACCAAATTCATCCCAGTTCCGTCTATTCCCATCCACTTCCTGCTCACTCTCATTACTTTGACATTGCCCGCGTCCGCACTGCTTACCTTGTCCCGAAGAGGCTCCGGTCGAGGCCGCTCCCGGACCCTTGAACACACAAAGTTAAAATCCAATCGGGCACAGGACAGCAAGCACAACACAATTTGCGTAACAGATAACTTTAAAAAACCTGTAGTACCGCTACCACACAGAAACCGTTCACTCTGAGCGCCTAAGTTCAACTGACTTGTCTTCGGCGAGCCGCTGCAGTGAGCGCTTCCACGGCGCGGCCTGCAGTTGCAGAGTGCTGAGTCCGCCCCTGCCTGCGTAGGTGAGCAGCCCTCGGATTTCTGCAACCTGATAAGGTTAATGGTCAGCGCGAAACGAAACTCCGTTTCCTGCTGAGCCGGCAGGAGTCAGCGTTTCGACACGCCGATGACGACGCCGATCCGGGGTGCTTGACTCCGGAACCCGGTAAGCGCGAAAACTCCAGGGCCGTTCACGAATTCGCGGTAACCGTTGATCCTGAAACCGGGTGGATAGGGGAGGGTTGGGTACGAAGACAACTGATCGACGATAAAAGTGACATTTTCGGGTGCTCGTAATAGCTTATTAAAATCATTTTTAGTAGGTTATGAATCTGCTGAATTTTTATTTTCATTAAGAGAATACAGGGTGCACAAGCTGCAGGTCGAGTATGTCTTAACTGAAAATGGACAAATTCACGACAGTTGGTAGTAGTTGAGAGAAATTTCTCACAGAGGAATGAATATCTAGAGGATGTCCCAACCGTCCATGGTGGGAAATTGCTCTTTTCCCGTGACTAGTGACAGAATTTTTCACACTCTGATAAACCTGTGTCCACTTTTCCACTCAGTGTACATCCTACAGCACACAATAAAAATATCTTAGTGACAAATTATGACTTGTGAGGAAATATTTTATTTAAAAAACACATCGTATGATGTATAAAGCTATTCATGAATTTTTCACAAAGCCGATTCAAGAAGTTACATTTGTTAAAAGCGTCGTCATGATGGATTTTCAGGAATCGCAAAGTACAAAATTTACATCACTAATGAATAATTAGCATAGCACTGACTTTAAATTTTCAAAGAATTTTCCGCCGACTCGCTCAATTAGCAACCCTAATTAAATATTTAATAACACAAATCAATTTTTCATTTTCAATTTGAACATTACATTCTAAGTGTGCCGCTTTTCGGGGATAGTTCACCTACTACGAGAAATTTCTATGTATGACCTCTGCAGGGAAAAAATTAATAATGCGACGGCGTGTCACTTTGACCTATCTACCTACGAACAACTAGGTCGTTTGTCTAAGGACTGTCTAGAAACACCCACAATAAAACGTTACTGGAGCCAGTTTTGCGAACATTAAGCAACCATTTTGACAAATGTGGAGTGAATCACTCATACGCAATTAAATTAATTTCAAATCAGGATTTTTATGTTGTCAAGCTATCGAGCTGTGAAGAGGAAATTATATGGTTACACAAAAAAAAATAAAAAATGCGACGTGTAGGTCACCGTAGCGACGGATATTATTAGTGTGTTTAGAAGCAAATGAAGCCTCTAATTTGTCACAAGGATATTTTTTGTGGCATTTTATATTTATTTGTTCCTGTGCACGAATGTCTGTATCACTGGTGTATAATTGGTTGCATAACTGCAAAATTATAATCATCTATTAAATATTTATTTCTAGGACAATTTACTTTGAATTTAAACAAAAATATATTAATTTCTTTTGATTGCATCCAATTTAACTTTATTTTAGTTGGTTTTGTGCAGGAGCGGATGGGATCTGTTGAAAGCCCGAAATTTTTGGCCATTTAAAAGTACCAGATGACCAGAGTGGCAACATACTTAAAATTTTATGATGGCATACTTGATTGTCAAAAATGAACTAGAGTCATCTTCTCATCACTTTTCTAAGGGACGTTTGACGCGCTCCTGTCAAAGTTGTCAAATGAGAACTGGCATGGGAACATTGCTGCCAATTATTCAGAACTGCAAACATTAATAGTATATAAAATTGTGTTTTGTTTTTTTAAAGTATGTAGTGTGAAAGAATTTCAGGGACCCCCAGTACTTGGTTTTTGTAATACTTAGTTTGAAACAATTTCTAATACCACTTTTGTTGTTTTTGAAGTAGCTTGAAAGAATTTTGAGGATCTATTTTTGTTCAATTTTTGAAGTAGTCGTAGTTTGAATGAAACTCAAGGACCTCTGGTATCTGGTTTTTGAAGTATAGTTAGAAAGAATGTCGGGAACCCTTTGTGTTTTATTTTTGAAGCAGTTTAAAAGAATCTCGGGGACCGCTTTTGCCTGTTTTTGAAGTAGTTTGAAAAAATTTCCAGGATCCTAGTTTTTAAAGTAGTTTAAAAGAATCTTAGGGACCTATTTTGTTTGGTTTATGAAGTAGCTTGAAAGAATTTTGAGGATCTATTGTTGTTTTATTTTTGAAGTACTCGTAGTTTGAATGAAATTCAAGGATCTCTGGTTTCTGGTTTTTGAAGTATAGTTAGAAAGAAGTTGTTCAAAAGAATCTCGGGGACTGCTTTTGCCTAGTTTTTGAAGTAATTCGAAAAAATCTCCAGCATCCTTTGTACCTAGTTTTTGAAGTAGTTTAAAAAAATCTCTGGGACCTTTTCTGTTTGGTTTTTGAAGTACTCGTAATTTGAAAGAAACGCAGGAGCCTCCGGTATCTAATTTTTGAAGTATAGTTAGAAAGAATGTCGGGAACCCCTTGTGTATGATTTTTGAAGTGGTTTGAAAGAATCTCGGGGACCTCTTGTATCTGTTTTTTAAAGTATAGTTAGAAACAATCTGGGGAACCCTTTGTGTTTTATTTTTGAAGTGGTTAAAAAAAACTCGGGGACCGCTTTTGCCTAGTTTTTGAAATAATTTGAAAAAGTCTCCAGGATCGTTTGTGCCTAGTTTTTGAAGTAGTTTAAAAAAATCTCTGGAACCTTTTCTGTTTGGTTTTTGAAGTACTCGTAATTTGAAAAAAACGCAGGGACCTCTGGTATCTAATTTTTGAAGTATAGTTAGAAAGAATGTCGGGAACCTCTTGTATCTGTTTTTTAAAGTATGGTTAGAAACAATCAGGGGAACCCTTTGTGTTCTATTTTTGAAGTAGTTTTAAAGAATCTCCGAGACCTCTTTTGCCTAGTCTTTGAAGTAGTTTAAAAAAATCTCCAGGATCCTAGTTTTTGAAGTAGTTTAAAATAATCTCAGGAACCTTTTTTGTTTGGTTTTTGAAGTACTCGAAGTGTGAAAGAAGCTCAGCGACCTCTGGTATCTGGTTTTTGAAGTATAGTTAGAAAGAATGTCGGGAATCCATTGTGTTGTATGTTTGAAGTTGTTTAAAAGAATCTCGGGGACCGCGTTTGCCTAGTTTTTGAAGTAGTTTAAAAAAATCTTGGGACCTTTTCTGTTTGGTTTTTGAAGTATTCGTAATTTGAAAGAAACGCAGGGACCTCTAGTATCTAATTTTTGAAGTATAGTTAGAAAGAATGTCGGGAACCCCTTGTGTATGATTTTTGAAGTGGTTTGAAAAAATCTCGGGGATCTCTTGTATCTGTTTTTTAAAGTATAGTTAGAAAGAATCTGGAGAACCCTTTGTGTTTTATTTTTGAAGTAGTTTTAAAAAATCTCCAGGATCCTAGTCTTTGAAGTAGTTTAAAATAATCTCAGGAACCTTTTTTGTTTGGTTTTTGAAGTAGCTTGAAAGAATTTTGAGGGTCTTTTGTGCCTTGTTTTTGAAGTACTCGAAGTGTGAAAGATAATCAGCGACCTCTGGTATCTGGTTTTTGAAGTATAGTTAGAAAGAATGTCGGGAATCTGTGTTTTATTTTTGAAGTTGTTTAAAAGAATCTCGGGGACCGCTTTTGCCTATTTCTTGAAGTAGTTTGAAAAAATCTCTGGGACCTTTTATGTTTGGTTTTTCAAGTATTCGTAATTTGAAAGAAATGCAGGGACCTCTAGTATCTATTTTTTGAAGTATAGTTAAAAAGAATGTCGGGAACCCCTTGTGTATGATTTTTGAAGTGGTTGGAAATAATCTGGGGGACCTCTTGTATCTGTTTTTTAAAGTATAGTTAGAAAGAATCTGGAGAACCCTTTGTGTTTTATTTTTGAAGTAGTTTTAAAAAATCTCCAGGATCCTAGTTTTTGAAGTAGGTAGTTTAAAATAATCTCAGGAACCTTTTTTGTTTGGTTTTTGAAGTAGCTTGAAAAAATTTTGAGGGTCTTTGTGCCTTGTTTTTGAAGTACTCGAAGTATAAAAGATACTCAGCGACCTCTGGTATTTGGTTTTTGAAGTATAGTTAGAAAGAATGTCGGGAATCTGTGTTTTATTTTTGAAGTTGTTTAAAAGAATCTGGGGGACCGCGTTTGCCTAGATTTTGAAGTAGTTTAAAAAAATCTCTGGAACCTTTTCTGTTTGGTTTTTGAAGTACTCGTAATTTGAAAGAAACGCAGGGGCCTCTGGTATCAAATTTTTGAAGTATAGTTAGAAAGAATGTCGGGAACCCCTTGTGTATGATTTTTGAAGTGGTTTGAAAAAATCTCGGGGATCTCTTGTATCTGTTTTTTAAAGTATAGTTAGAAAGAATGTGGAGAACCCTTTGTGTTTTATTTTTGAAGTAGTTTTAAAAAATCTCCAGGATCCTAGTTTTTGAAGTAGTTTAAAATAATCTCAGGAACCTTTTTTGTTTGGTTTTTGAAGTAGCTTAAAAGAATTGTGAAGGTCTTTGTGGCTTGTTTTTGAAGTACTCGAAGTGTGAAAGAAACTCAGCGACCTCTGGTATCTGGTTTTTGAAGTATAGTTAGAAAGAATGTCGGGAATCTGTGTTTTATTTTTGAAGTTGTTTAAAAGAATCTCGGGGGCCGCTTTTGCCTAGTTTTTGAAGTAGTTTAAAAAAATCTCTGGAACCTTTTCTGTTTGGTTTTTGAAGTACTCGTAATTTGAAAGAAACGCAGGGACCTCTGGTATCTAATTTTTGAAGTATAGTTAGAAAGAATGTCGGGACCCCCTTGTGTATGATTTTTCAAGTGGTTTGAACGAATCTCGGGGACCTCTTGTATCTGGTTTTTAAAGTATAGTTAGAAAGAATCTGGGGAACCCTTTGTGTTTTATTTTTGAAGTAGTTTTAAAAAATCTCGGAGACCTCTTTTGCCTAGTCTTTGAAGTAGTTGGAAAAAATCTCCAGGATCCTAGTTTTTGAAGTAGTTAAAAATAATCTGTGGAAGCTTTTTTGTTTGATTTTTGAAATAGCTTGAAAAAAATTTGAGGGTCTTTGTGCCTTGTTTTTGAAGTACTCGAAGTGTAAAAAATACTCAGTGACCTCTGGTATCTGGTTTTTGAAGTATAGTTAGAAAGAATGTCGGAAATCCATTGTGTTGTATGTTTGAAGTTGTTTAAAAGAATCTCGGGGACCGCTTTTGCCTAGTTTTTGAAGTAGTTCAAAAAAATCTCTGGAACCTTTTCTGTTTGGTTTTTGAAGTACTCGTAATTTGAAAGAAACCCAGAGACCTCTGGTATCTAATTTTTGGAGTATAGTTAGAAAGAATGTCGGGAACCTCTTGTGTATGATTTTTGAAGTGGTTTGAAAGAATCTCGGGGACGTCTTGTATCTGTTTTTTAAAGTATAGTTAGAAAGGATCTGGGGAACCCTTTGTGTTTTATTTTTGAAGTAGTTTTAGAAAATCTCGGAGACCTCTTTTGCCTACTCTTTGAAGTAGTTTGAAAAAATCTCCAGGATCCTAGTTTTTGAAGTAGTTTAAAATAATCTCAGGAACCTTTTTTGTTTGATTTTTGAAGTAGCTTGAAAGAATTTTGAGGGTCTTCGTGCCTTGTTTTTGAAGTACTCGAAGTGTGAAAGAAACTCAGCGACCTCTGGTATTTGGTTTTTGAAGTATAGTTAGAAAGAATGTCGGGAATCCATTGTGTTGTATGTTTGAAGTTGTTTAAAAGAATCTCGGGGACCGCTTTTGCCTAGTTTTTGAAGTAATTTAAAAAAATCTCTTGGACCTTTTCAGGAGGGAGAATGTATATGATTTTTGAGGTAGTTTGAAAGAATCTCGGGGACCTTTTGTGTCTGATTTTTAAAGTATAGTTAGAAAGAATCTCAGGAATCATTTGTGTTTTGTTCTTGAAGTAGTTTTAAAGAATCTCGGGGAACGCTTTTGCCTAGTTTTTGGAGTAGTTTGGAAACATCTCCAGGATCCTATTTTTTGAAGTAATTTAAAAGAATCTCAGTGATATTTTTTGTTTGGTTTTTGAAGTAGTTTGAAAAAATTTTGAGGGTCTTTTGTGTCTTGTTTTTGAAGTATTCGAAGTGTGAATGATACTCAATGAACTCTGGTATCTGGTATTTGAAGTATAATTAGAAAGAATCTCGGGAACCCTTTGTGTTTAATTTTTGAAGTAGTTTCAAAGAATTTCTTGGATCGCTTTTGCCTAGTTTTTGAAGTAATTTGAGAAAATCTCAAGGATCCTTTGTGCCTAGTTTTTGAAGTAGTTTAAAAAATCTCTGGGACCTTTTCTGTTTGGTTTTTAAAGTGCTCGTAATTTGAAAAAAACGCAGGGATCTCTGGTATCTAATTTTTGAAGTATAGTTAGAAAGAATCTAAGGAACCCCTTGTGTCTGATTTTTGAAGTGGTTTTAAAGAATATCGGGGACGTCTTGTGTCTGGTTTTTGAAGTATAGTTAGAAAGGATCTCGGGAACCCTTTCTGTTCTATATTTGAAGTAGTTTGAAAGAATCTCGGGGACCGCTTTTGCCTAGCTTTTGAAGTAGTTTGAAAAAATCTCCAGAATCCTTTGTACCTAGTTTTTGAAGTAATTAGTAGGTGTGTGAACTAATACTAATACTAAAATAATTTAAAAGAATCTCGGGGACTTTTTTTGTTTGGTTTTTGAAGTATAATTAGAAAGAATCTCGGAAACCCATTGTGTCTGATTTTTGAAGTGGTGTGAAAGAATCTCGGGGACCTCTTGTGTCTGTTTTTTGAAGTATAGTTACAAAGAATCTCGGGAACCCTTTGTGTTTTTTTTAAGTAGTTTGAAAGACTCTCGGGGACCGCTTTTACCTAGTTTTTGAAGTAGTTTGAAAAAATCTCCATGATCCTAGTTTTTGAAGTAGTTTATAAAAGAATCTCGGGGACCTTTTTGTTTGGTTTTTGAAGTATAATTAGAAAGAATCTCGGAAATCCCTTGTCTCTGATGTTTGAAGTAATTTAAAAGAATCTCAGGAACCCTTTGTTTTATATTTGAACTAGTTTGAAAAAAATTAGGGGACCGCTTTTGCCAAGTTTTTGAAGTAATTTGAAAAAATCTCCAGTATCCTTTGTGCCTAATTTTTGAAGTAGAATTAGAAAGAATCTCAGAAACCCCTTGTGTCTGATTTTTGAAATGGTTTGAAAGAATATCAGTAACCTCTTGTATCCGGTTTTTGAAGTATAATTGAAAAGAATCCCGGAGACCCCTTTCGTTTAGTTTTTGAAGTAATAGAAAGAATCTCAAAGACTCCATGTGCTTAGTTTTTAAAACAATTTGAAAGAATATCGGAATCCCGTGATTAATTAATAATAATAACCGAATTTAAATCAACGCCTGAAAGCCCTAAATTTTATTTCATTTAAAAGTACACAAAATTTAAATTCGGGCACCAGCGCTCTGGAAAATTCCCGATTTCCAGATGCTCCATCCGCCCCTGGTTTCGTGCAAGCGCTAAAGCATGAATAGCGTGCGCATGTCACTGTGTAAAGTGGGTTGCAGCCATTACACATTTACTCCGAATTATCTACAACACACATAAAAATACCTAAAAATTCGTCTTTTGAACGGAATTTAAGTGCAGTTTCGTTAAACAAAAGTGGCGTTAAATACAGAGTGTCGTGGTACTCATAACTGTCACATTTTCATTCATAATAAGTCAGACTACAGTTCATTTTATAAGGGCTTGGAAAAATTCACTCAACCCAAAATACACATTTCGCAGTGAATGCAACAATTTTCATGTGTTAACAATTTTAAAACAAGGTATGTTTTGCAAAAAAATATATATAAATGTCAAATTGACGTTTTGCCAACCTTGTTCTCTTCAAATGTCACTTTGTTGTTAACCTAAATTTGTTTGTTGTATTTGTTTAAACAAGTAATCGTCACCCTTAGCTTGTGTCTTGTGTATATTACGTTGCATAATTTTATCCACGTCCTTAAAATAATGAACTCTACATAGGCATAAAAAGATCGACAACTTTTTAACCGCGTGTGGTTTAGGGAGTCAGTGGCGTAACAAGGAAAAGGAGAGGGAATGCCGACGTAATCCCTAAAATAAGCCAATTTGTATTAAATTTGTTACTACTAAGTAAAAGCGTAAATATTTCATTAGTAGTTAGTATATAAAATGACCAGTGGAATATTCACACAATTATTACTGATTTCCACGATTTTTGTAAGATTTTAAGTGGCTAAATCCAGAAGTAACATTTCATATACTACTACTCTCACTGCCCCAACGATGGTTCGAGTATCCCTGATGACACACAAAATTAAATTCCAAAGCAACATGCTGCACACGATGTTTGACGAAATTCTGGTGCATCGGCCGACTTTCGAACGATCGACAGAGCGATAATTAGTGGTAGGTGCTGAAAAAGTACTTACCAATAATGGGTTTACTAAATCCCGAGAAGTGGATTTTATATTAGTGCTCATTTCTGAGAAAATCCACTGCAATTAAGTTGCTTTATCAATTTCACATTTCCACTTAGTTTATTTTGAATAAACCAAAACAGATTTATAGCTTGTATGGTTTTGGGGAACCAGTGGCGTAGCAGGATAGAGGAAGACAGATTTATTGTTGTCCTTCATGAATAAATTGAGTTTTAATAACGCATAGGAATTTAGTAAGGGTGTAAATAAGTGATTAGGCAGACGATCGTTTTGAGGGTACACGATGGGCTCGATTTTAATGTGATGATATTTTGACAAGTCGGCACATCGTGTATTCTCGAACGAGCGATCGATCGATCGAAGGGGGGGGCGATTAGTGATGGATGATAAAATTACTTACCAAAAATCTGTGGAAAAAATGATCGTAGAGAATGTTATTTACATATTTATTCTCATTAGAATAGATACATTCATAAATTTAAAAATTCTGTCGAATCACAAAAAATAATGTATAAATAAAATGCAGTGAAATGTCAAAGTTGAATAAAAAGGATCAACAAAGTTCTCCTGCATACAGTCTTAAGATTCGAACAGGCGAAATCGTACTACTAAATATAATTACAGTTTAACTCTATGCAACTTATAGAAACTAAACATACAAAAACCTAAAATAAAAATCAGTGAGGTAGAATTTGTTCATGTTCTAACCAATAAGATGTCGAAAATAAACATGAAAAACAAAAACGGAATTTCACAATGACATTAAATTAAGTATATTTGTAATTAACTATATTTACAATGCAAAAACACGGATTGGAAATTGTTTCCCGATCGTCACTTGAAAAAGTCCCTTATCTACCATTGTCTCGAGTTCTAATATCCTCGCTATTCAAAATTTTAAACACCAATTAGGGTAAGAATTTAAATTTCTTATTATTTGTCACATAGTTTGTTACATTCATTAAGCATCACGAATCTTTCTCTTTATAATAAAATATTCTACTCGTCCACTAACACTTAATTATAAATCCAAACAGCTCGTAAACTCGGCCATTAATTAAAATATTCTCTACTTAACAATACATTCATATATTTTCTTCCTTAAATGATATCGTAGCGTCTGTCAAGCCATCAAACAATCTCCAATAGGGATGAACTAAATAAGAACAACTTAGGGAACGAAATACATCATACCATTCTCTCCTAGTATAAAATTACCTATCAATATGATATAATTTTGAACAGTCTTAATTTTAGATTTTTGTCTCTAAATGCATTGTAAAAGAATAGTTTATAAAAGTTACTTTTTCTGGATGATAGAAATATGGTAGATACAAACTATGTTAAAACTAAAACTATGTTACATAGTGAATTGTTTATTTTATCGTTTACAGAAGTATTTACACTGTAAATTTAAGAAACCAGCGATTGGTTGCTACCAAGTACCAACATGCAACTGCACAACTATAGGTGACTCCGGTGTATGTAAATACTGGGGAAACGAGAAAACATCTACAGTAACAACCAATCGTAAGATTATCGTGTCTAACTCTGTCTTTGTCGTATTAATATATCAACTAAATCAGTCAATTTTCAAATAAATAATTTGATGAATTTCAGTCTATTTTTCTAAATGATATGAGCAAAATAAATGAAAAATGCTGCGACCGATGTAACTTAAGTACAGATTATTTTTGATTCCTTTAGAAGCGGCGCCGGCCGCCCCGCCCACCCACCACCGACCACCAATCACCGTATATAAAATATCGTCAATTGGGTAACCTCTAACTTTATTCTTTGGTCGATAACGGTATTTTATATAATACTCATCTGATTGCGCGGGGCGGCGCGGGGGCGCGGCGGCCGCCCTCCGAACACATGCAAAACGCGAAAGATTTTGAGATCAAGGTTGGTTAGCATCAATTTTCACAGTACATCACATTAGGTTATAAATTAACATTAAAAGAACACAATCGTGTATTAATTAAAAATTGTAAAAGACGAAATTTTAAAATGGCACTCAAGTGGAAATGAACGCTTTAAAAAAATCTGTATAAAAAAGTCATGGCATTTACTAATTGAATTATTCACATATTTTTGGGCAGTGTTGCTGGCAGTGTTTCATTTCAATTCAATTTGAAAACTCTCCTGAATCAAACTTGTTTTTTTTTGTTTTTTAAATTTAGTTAAATAAATATTAAGCTAAAATAAATAGAAAGATACGAGCTCGAAAGGAATGTTAAATTATAATTTCATCTAAAAGTAGTAAACCGTTCAAGTTTTGTTTGATAGGGGACAGGCAGCGAACAGGAACAACGCAATTTTGTCAGAATGGCACATGAAGTTACGTCTTTAAGCGATCCAATTGACTCTCTTGAATTTGATTGAAACGAATTTATCACAGTGTCAAACCTACCGTCGAGCGAATGGAGATGCGGATGATGAATGCGAAAAAAGAAAAAAAACTCGGTTGCCTGTTACGTCCCCGCGGCGTACATCGTAAAAAATAAAACTAAATTACTTTGTAAATATTGCGAACACACAAATTAACTAAATTAAATAAGATAATGCTTATAATTCGTCTAGTCTATCAGAAAGTTTCTAACAACTATAAACCAGTTCAATGGCAGTGATACTAGGCTGGTTGTAAAACGGTTAAAAGCTTTCCGTTCCGTCTGTCTCTACATTTACTATACAATACAAAACTTTCTGTACACAGTGAAAGACTTCACAAATATACATCGTGCTCCCATACATATCATACAATTTGTTTAACCAAACCGAAGCGAACCTTTGCAAGCGAGATCCATTTCTGAACGTTTCCAAAACGAAAAGTACAAAATGTCGGCCCGACATGGCGGCGCGGCGCCATCTTGGGCCGGTTGAACACAAGCATGGGTTTATTACAAAGGCTCACTCATGACTTTTTACATTTATATAATTTATTAACAAAAACTTTATATCACGTTTGCTGCTTTGAGATGGGTTTGCGACGCCGCCCTTCTTGCCTTCTCCTCTCGAGCGAGAAGAAGTGGGAGGTGAGGGCGTCTTTGGAGGTGGGTTGGAGAGACGGAATGTGGACCGACTTCATCGGGACGTACTCCTTCTCTGTCACCCATTCGTCGGGAATTCTGAAACACAGACCGAACGGTTAAATCCTGAACACTCTTTTGTACGTAAACTCTAAGCAGATCATTAAAAAGCTGCTGCGTGGAATTAACTTTTTCGTCAAGTTTTATATGCTGGAGAACAGAACTGAATGCTACAGAAGTCAACGAAAATTAGTTTTTTTTTTAAATTTAATTTTTAAAAAATCATGTTGGCAACACTCCGCTTTTGACATTTACACGAACAAACAACTGCCAAATAAAGTGTCAAGTAAGTGCAATGCCAACATGATTATTTTAAAAATAAATTTCTGCGGTCTCTGCATTGTGGGTTGCATACATATCATTTTTTAACATGTATAATTTCAAACAAAGAGGTGAATAATACTTAAAAAACACGCAGAAAACATGAAAGCATTCACTAGTTTATGTTCTTTCACTGCATGAAAAATAATGAAATTTTAGTTTACATACAATTTTGGCCTCTTGAGATTGGTGTGTTTATTTATTGTTTAAGTTAAAACTAGGTAAATTTGCTTTTAACAACAGAAAGCCTCAATGAATGTGATGCCTCGAACCACAATGTGCTATTTTGTGTTTTTTTGGAGTTATGATTCGTTTAATTTGAAAAAAAAAATGACACCTTCTTATATATTAGTCTCTCAGAACTAAAAGAATCAAATATCCGGTCTGAAAATTAACTTTTAGAACTAGAAAGCTTCAATAAAATGAATCCTTTGAACCACAATGCGCTATATTGTGTTGTTTTGAAGTTATGACTAGATAAATTTGAAAAAATGCTGTTTTTTGACTTAAAAAATGACACCTTCTTATATTCGTCTTTTCAAACCAAACGAATCAAAAATTCGGTCCGAAAATTTCCACTCAACACTAGAAAGCTTCACGGAATCGAATGCTTTGAACCGTAATTCAGTACCTTGTGTCATTTTCAAGTTATGTCTGCTTAAATTTGAAAGAGCTTTTTTTGACTCAAAAAGGACAACTTTTATATTCATCTCTCCAAACTAAACGAATCGAGTATTCGGTCCGAAAATTTGCTTTTAGAACTAGAAAACTTCAAGGAATCGAATGCTTTTAACCGAAATACAATATTTTATGTCGTTTTAGAGTTATGACTCGTTAAATTTGAAAAAATGCTGTGTTTACACTTAAAAATGACACCTTTATATATTTTTCTCTCCAAATTAAATAGACCAAGAATCCGGTCTGAAAATTTCCATTTGACACTAGAAAGCTTCACAGAATCGAATACTTTGAATCGCAATTCGGTATCTTGTGTCATTTTAAGGTTATGTCTCAATAAATTTGAAAAAAAGCTGTTTTCTTGACTCAAAAATGACACCTTACATATTCAATCTCTCCAAACTAAACGAATCGAGTATCCGGTCTGAAAATTCACTTTTAGAACTAGAAAACCTCAAGGAATCGAATGTTTTGAAGATCAATACGATATCTTGTGCCGTTTTGAAGTTATGACTTGCTAAATTTGAAAAAAAACTGTTCTTGGACTCAAGAATGACACCTTGTATATTCATCGCTCCAGACTAAACGGATCGAGTATTCGGTCTGAAAATTTGCTTTTAGGACTAGAAAACTTCACAGAATCGAATGCCTTGAACCGAGATACGATATATTACGCCGTTTTGGAGTTATGACTCGTTTAATTTTAAAAAAATCTGTGTTTAGACTTAAAAATGACAACCTTTTTATATTTTTCTCTCCAAACCAAATAGACCAAGAATCCAGTCTGAAAATTTCCATTTGACATTAGAAAGCTCCACAGAATCGAATGTTTTGAATCGCAATTCGGTATCTTGTGTCATTTTAAGGTTATGTCTCAATAAATTTGAAAAAAAAACTGTTGTCTCAACTCAAAAATGACACCTTAAATATTCAATCTCTCCAACCTAAACGAATCGAGTATCCGGTCTGAAAATTCACTTTTAGAACCAGAAAACTTCAAGGAATCGACTGTTTTGAAAATCAATACGATATCTTGTGCCGTTTTGAAGTTATGACTTGCTAAATATGAAAAAAAGCTGTTCTTGGACTCAAAAACGACACTTTATATATTCGTCTCTCCAAACTGAACGGATCAAGTCTCCGGTCTGAACAATTACTTTTAGAACTAAAGAAGCTTCAAGGAATCGAATGTTTCGAACCGCAATGCCCTATCTTGTGTTGTTTCAGAGTTATGACTCGTTAAATTTGAAAAAAGCTGTACTTTTAAGTCAAAAATGACACCTTCTTATATATTCGTCTCTCAGAACTAAAAGAACCAATTATCCGGTCTGAAAATTAGCTTCTAGAACTAGAAAGCTTCGAGAAAAAGAATATTTTGCACCGCAATGCGCTAGATTACGTTGTTTTGGAGTTATGACTGGTTAAATTTGAAAAAATGCTAATTTTTGACTCGAAAATGACACTTCTTATATGTTCGTCTCTCAAACTAAGATAATCAAACATTCGGTCTGAAAATGAGCTTTTAGAACTAGAAAGCTTTAAGAAAAGGAATCCTTTAAACCGCAATGCGCTGTATTGTGCTGATTTTGAGTTATGATTGATTAAATTTGAAAAAATGCTACTTTTTGACTCAAAAATGACACATCTTCAAATCAAACGGATCAAGAATTCGGACCGAAAATTTACATTTAGCACTAAAAAGCTTCACGGAATCGGATAATTTAAACCGCAATTTGGTATCTTGTGTCATTTTAAGGTTATGTTTCCTCAAATTTAAAAAAATGCTGTTTTTTGACTCAAAAATGACGCCTTATATATTCATCTCTCCTAACCAAACGGAATGAGTATCCGGTCTGAAAATCAGCTTTTAGAACTAGAAAACTTCAAGGAATCAAATGCATTGAACCGAAAGACGATATCTTGTGCCGTTTTGGAGTTATGACTCGTTAAATTAAAAAAAAAAGCTGTTCTTGGACTCAAAAATGACACGTTATATATTCGTCTCTCCAAACTGAACGGATCAAGTCTCCGGTCTGACAATTACTTTTAGAACTAAAGAAGCTTCAAGGAATCGAATGTTTCGAACCGCAATGCCCTGTCTTGTGTTGTTTCAGAGTTATGACTCGTTAAATTTGAAAAAAGCTGTACTTTTAAGTCAAAAATGACACCTTCTTATATATTCGTTTCTCAGAACTAAAAGAACCAATTATCCGGTCTGAAAATTAGCTTCTAGAACTAGAAAGCTTCAAGAAAAAGAATATTTTGCACCGCAATGCGCTATATTACGTTGTTTTGGAGTTATGACTGGTTATATTTGAAAAAATGCCGTTTTTTGACTCAAAAATGACACCTTCTTATATTCGTCTCTCCAAACCAAACGGATCAAGAATCTGGTTTAAAAATTTCCACTAAACCCTAGAGAGCTTCACGGAATCGAATGCTTTGAACCGTAATTCGGTATCTTGTGTCATTTTAAAGTTATGTCCCGTTAAATTTGAAAAAAAGCTATTTTTTGACTCCAAAATGACATTTTATATATTCATCTCTCCAAACTAAACGCATCGCGTATTCGGTCTGAAAATTTGCTTTTGGAACTAGAAAACTTCAAGAAATCGAATGCTTTGAACCGAAATACAATATCTTGCACCGTTTTGGAGTTATGACTCATTAAATTAGAAAAAAAGGTGTTCTTCAGGTCAAAAATGATACCTTATGTATTCATGTTCTCAAAACTAAAAGAATCAAATATCTGGTCTGAAAATTAGCTTTTACAACTAAAAAGCTTCAAGAAAAGGAAACCTTTGATCCGCAATGCGCTATATTGTGTTGTTTGACTGGTTAAATTTGGAAAAATGCTGTTTTTTGACTCAGAAATGACACTTTCTTATATTCGTCTCTTCAAACCAAACGGATCAAGAATTCGATCTGAAAAGTTCCGTTCAACATTAAAACGCTTCACGGAATCGAATGATTTGAACCGAAATACGATATATTGTTTTGGAGTTATGACTCGTTAAATTTGAAAAAAAGCTGTTCTTTAAGTCAAAAATGACACTTTCTTATATATTCGTCTCTCAAAACTAAAAGAACCAAATATCCGGTCTGAAAATTAGCTTTCAGAACTAGAAAGCTTCAAGAAAAGGAATCCTTTAAAGCGCAATGCGCTATATTGTGTTGTTTTGGAGTTATGACTGGTTAAATTTGTAAAAATGCTGTTTTTTGAATAAAAAATGACACTTTCTTATATTCGTCTTTTCAAACCAAACGGATCAAGAATTCGGTCTGAAAATTTCCGTTCAATATTAAAAAGCTTCACGGAATCGAATGATTCGAACCGGAATACGATATATTGTGCCGTTTTGGAGTTATGACTCGTTAAATTTGAAAAAAAGCTGTTCTTTAAGTCAAAAATGATACCTTCTTATATATTCGTTTCTCAGAATTAAAACAACCAAATATCCGGTCTGAAAATTAGCTTTTAGAACAAGAAAGCTTCAAGAAAAGGAATTCTTTAAACAGCAATGCGCTATATTGTGTTGTTTTGGAGTTATGACTGGTTAAATTTGAAAGAATGCTCTTTTTTGACTCAAAAACAACACCTTCTTATATTCGTCTCTCCAAACCAAACGGATCAAGAATCCGGTCTGAAAATTTCCACTAAACCCTAGAGAGCTTCACGGAATCGAATGCTTTGAACCGTAATTCGGTATCTTGTGTCATTTTCAAGTTATGTCGCTTTACATTTGAAAAAAAGCTATTTTTTGACTCCAAAATGACATTTTATATATTCATCTCTCCAAACTAAACGGATCTCGTATTCGGACTGAAATTTTGCTTTTAGAACTAGAAAACTTCAAGAAATCGAATGCTTTGAACCGAAATACCGTATCTTGTACCGTTTTGGAGTTATGACTCATTAAATTAGAAAAAAAGGTGTTCTTCAGGTCAAAAATGACACCTTATGTATTCATGTTCTCAAAACTAAAAGAATCAAATATCTGGTCTAAAAATTAGCTTTTACAACTAGAAAGGAATTCTTTGAACCGCAATGCGCTATATTGTGCTGTTTGACTGGTTAAATTTGAAAAAATGCTGTTTTTTGACTCAGAAATGACACTTTCTTATATTCGTCTCTCCAAACCAAACGGATCAAGAATTCGGTCTGAAAATTTCCGTTCAATATTAAAAAGCTTCACGGAATTGAATGATTCGAACCGAAATACGATATATTGTGCCGTTTTGGAGTTATGACTCGTTAAATTTGAAAAAAAGCTGTTCTTTAAGTCAAAAATGACACTTTCTTATGTATTCGTCTCTCAAAATTAAAAGAATCAAATATCCGGTCTGAAAATTAGCTTTTAGAACTTGAAAGCTTCAAGAAAACGAATCCTTTGAACAGCAATGCGCTATACTGTGTTGTTTTGGAGTTATGACCAGTTAAATTTGAAAAAATACTGTTTTTTCACTCAAAAGTGACACCTTCTTATATTCCTCTCTACAAACCAAACGGATCAAGAATTCGGTTTGAAAATTCCCACCAAACACTAGAGAGCTTCACGGAATCGAATGCTTTGAACCGTAGTTTGGTATATTGTGTCATTTTAAAGTTATGTCGCTTTACATTTGAAAAAAAACTAATTTTTGACTCCAAAATGACATTTTATATATTCATCTCTCCAAACTAAACGCATCGCGTATTCGGACTGAAAATTATCTTTTAGAACTAGAAAACTTCAAGAAATCGAATGCTTTGAACCGAAACACCATATCTTGTACCGTTTTGGAGTTATGACTCATTAAATTAGAAAAAAAGGTTTTCTTCAGGTCAAAAATGACACCTTATGTATTCATGTTCTCAAAACTGAAAGAATCAAATATCTGGTCTGAAAATTAGCTTTTACAACTAGAAAGCTTCAAGAAAAGGAATCCTTTGAACCGCAATGCGCTATATTGTGTTGTTTGACTGGTTAAATTTGAAAAAATGCTGTTTTTTGACTCAGAAATGACACTTTCTTATATTCGTCTCTCCAAACCAAGCGGATCAAGAATTCGTTCTGAAAATTTCCACTAAACCCTAGAGAGTTTAACGGAATCGAATGCTTTGAACCGTAATTCGGTATCTTGTGTCATTTTAAAGTTATGTCGCTCTAAACTTGAAAAAAGCTGTTTTTTGACTCCAAAGTAATATTTTATATATACATCTCTCCAAACTAAACGGATCGCGTATTCGGTCTGAAAATTTGCTTTTGGAACTAGAAAACTTTAAGAAATCGAATGCTTCGAACCGAAACACCATATCTTGTACCGTTTTGGAGTTGTGACTCATTAAATTAGAAAAAAAGGTGTTCTTCAGGTCAAAAATGACACCCTATGTATTCAAGTTCTCAAAACTGAAAGAATCAAATATCTGGTCTGAAAATTAGCTTTTACAACTAGAAAGCTTCAAGAAAAGGAATCCTTTGAACCGCAATGCGCTACATTGTGTTGTTTGACTTGTTAAATTTGAAAAAATGCTGTTTTTTGACTCAGAAATGACACTTTCTTATATTCGTCTCTCCAAACCAAACGGATCAAGAATTCGGTCTGAAAATTTGCGTTCGCCATTAAAAAGCTTCACGGAATCGAATGATTTGAACCGAAACACGATATATTGTGTCGTTTTGGAGTTATGCTGTTTTTTTTAATCGAAAATTAGCGCAAATTTGAAAAAAAAAAATTAGTCCAATCAAAAATCGCAAGTTAAAAGCCAAAATTGTGGACTTTGTTACCACGAAATTGATTTCCAAAAAAATCTATCTATCTGACACAAATTTGTACTAAGAAATTTAAAAAAAGGTAGTCTTGCGATTAATTTTGAATTATTTCTCTGGATAGTTCAAATTTTTTATTCTCTACGATTCTTAGTTTCAAAATATTACTATGGTTTGGTGTCCCATAAGTTATTCCTTCCAACTCTTATACTTCTTAAAAGTAAATCTTTTCCGCAACAATTTAGTTTAATATAAAAATGTATTCAGAACTTTTTTTTTAATGTACAAGAATCAAAATCATGACTCAGAACCCAGAAGCGTTTCCATTAATTTACAATTCCTTTGATTTTTTATTTTGTACAGGTTGCAATTTTGAAATATCACTGCGGTGTCTCGCAATGCTTTAATTTACTGTGAGAATACATCCTGGACTGTTTTGTTACCAGGAATGAACCGTTCGTCTTCGGCTCTAGTCATTTCCTGACAAAAAAGCAATTTATTACAGTCCTAACACCAAATCATAGATTAATTTCCAAGACCTAAACCCATTACTGCACAACGCCCGATTGATTACAATCCTCCTTGTCATGCAGATCCCGCAATTTCCTCATAACATTAAACTCGCACCACCTCAAAACGAAAACCAAAAATTGCAATAACTCCACAAAATTTCTGGTACATACCCCAGTAAATTCCCACCGTAATTCAAACTCCACACTTACATTCCGACGGGGTCCCACTTGACCAAGAACTTGACTTTGCCATCCGGCTCCACCCTCCTGGCAATGACTTGGCTAAGCACATTCACGGCATTCCCATCGTCGTGTATCTGTCCCAGCGTCCTCTCCTGCGTCATCGTCAGCAGCCTGTGCTGCAGTCCCTCCATAATGCCCGCATCGATAAAATCAAACATCCGCGCTAAAAGAAGTTTCGCTTAATAATGCACCAGGGATGCTACCTCACGTATTTATATTCTCATACTTACGCTAAACACGATAAGACTAAAGCTACTAATTTACCTGACCACGGCTGCCTCCTGAACCTTATTTTTTTCCCGTTCCGCTTGAACAGCTTGACGGAGGAGTTCTCGGCAGACTTCTTGGCGTTGCTGTTCTGGTTGCCGTCGCCGTTGAAGTGGCCGTTGACGTGCCGCTCCAGCGTCAACTGCAACGAGAGGTGAGGTAGAGGCGTTTTTACCAGTTTCAGAGGGCTTACCTGGGAGTTGAACCTCTGGCCGCATCCGTCGACTATACATCGGAAGGGCTTGGTTCCCGCGTGTGCCAAAACGTGTCGCTCTAACCATGACCTCGAACAGGATGTGCGTCCGTGCACCTTGCAACCCAACCACAGGCAGACGTACTGTTCTTGAGTTGCTTGCGATATCACATGTTTTATCTGAAGGCAAAAATCACTTAAGTAAAGTAAAATTATTTGTTGTATTATATGTAGATGATTTAGTAAGTGCAACACAGCATAAACCAACAATGTCATCCTGTTAGAAATATCTCAAGTGGAATTATTTTTCTGAGGGATGAAAGCTAAAGAAAGAAAAGCAGAAAATTAAGGACTTATTAAAAGCTAATGAGCTTGAATGGGATTGAAGAGGGGGAATTAGAAGTTAAAATAAGAAACCTGGAGGAAAGGTTTGAGGTTAGGGTAAAAAGGGGTTGGAAAAACAATGTCGTAATAAAAGGGGTAGAACTGGCAGAGGCAGAGAGAGAGACGCTGGAAGAAGTGGTTGAAAAATTCAGACAGGACAAGCTGGATATCGAGATTGTTGTAAAACCGGCAATAAAGCGAACCCAGAGTGTATTACTGGTTGCCTAAAAGAAAAGAAAAACTAATAAAACTAGGATACCAGAAAGTAAACGTTAATGGGAGATGGCATAAGTGGGATGACTTAAAAGAACAGCCACTAAATTTTTTAAAAAGAAAATGGGCAGAAATAAACGAAGACGACAAAGCAAACAAATAGGATAAAAGAGAAGGAATATATTGAAAAATCAAAGTAGGAGGAAGTTGAAGTGGAGTTTTGCAATATAGAGGGATTAAAAACAAAAAAGCAGATTTGTGGTCATATACGGGGTGTCCAGAAAATGGCGGATGAACTCTTCAGTACGTTAAAATAATACAAAAATTCTTTATGATGTCGATTTCGAAAAAAAAACAACTTAATTTCATAAAAGTAAAATTGGCAGTAACAGGTTTTTATTTTTCATTAATTTATAAATTATAACCAAAAACAAAACCAACAAAAGAAAAATCCATTAAAGCATAACTAACTAAAAACTACAGAAGATGTTCAAAATTCCTGCCTTGTACACATAACTAAACTCGTAATATTTCCAAATTTTGATCATTTTTTGAAAAAGTTAGTCATTAGTAGTAAGATAAAACTGATTTTGGCAGATGACATAACCTCTAACAAAAGAGAGGGTGGGTGGGCGGGGCTAGTACCTGCTAAGATAAGAGTGATTTTGGCAGATGAGATATCCTTTAAAAAAAGAGAGGGTGGGTGGGCGGGGTTAATATCTGCCAAGACTGTTTTTGGTAAATGACATATTAGGGGCAATTCTGAATCAAACTTATTTTCAAAACCCTACTTTTAAAATGTTCGCAGTTAATTTTAGGTCCCTTGGTGTTTTATTTTCAAATAAATTTAAAAGAGTCTGGTGTTCTGTCGCTGGATGAACTTGAAACGATCTTTTGAGCTTCTATTAGTGTTTTATTTTTTATGAATTTGAAAAAGTCTTGAGTGCCGCAGTTTTTTTTTTTAATTCGGGAATCTCCATGGAGACTCTTGGATATCCATGGTGTATTATTTTGGGAGGCCAGGGAGACTTTATTTGCAAATTATTATTTAAAACAAATTTGGGGGACTTTGGTGTTCTATCGTGAGGTTCAAGGTGTTCCTGCTTGGAAAGAATTTGAAAGTGCTTTGGAGCCTTTAGTGTCTTTTCTAATAATAATTTAATTAAATTTTTTGAAGGATACGTCATTTGCCAAAATCAATCTTATCTTGACAAGTACTAGCCCCGCCCACCCACCCTCTCTTCTCTTGGAAGGTATCTCATTTGCTAAAATTCGTCTTATTTTCGCAGCAACTAGCCCTGCCCAATTTACAATTTTCCTATTTTGCAATTTTTCGATTTTGCTTTGCTTCTATTTTTTGATTTACAATTTTTAAATTTTTCCTTCTACAGTTTTTCGATTTTTCACATTTTCAATTTTTTAGTTCTTAACTTTTTAATGTTTCAGCAAAAAAAGAATTGGAAATCGAAAAATTGAAAAATCGATAGATTAATAAGCGAAAACGAAAAATCGGAAAACTGAAACATTGAAAACTATAAGATCGAAAAATTGAATCTTGTAAAATTCAAAAACCGACAAATTAAAACGAGGGAAACAAAAAACCGAAAAATTTAAAAATCGGAAAACTGCAAGAACGAAAAATTGACTAATTCAAAATTGAGAAGTCGAAAAATTGAAAAATCAACAATTTAATTTTCGAATCAAAAATGAAAAACTTCAAAGTTGTAAAATTTAAAAAATCAAAAGAAAAACGAAAAAGTATAAGACGAAAACTTCGAAAAACCTGAAAATTTGAAATGAACACCTTGAAAAATTGAAAAAACGACAAATTGAAAAATGGAAATATTAAAAATTGAGAAACTTGAAATTACAAAAATCGGAAAATCGAATAATTGAGAAATCCAAAAAATGCAAAATTGAAAAATTTAAGAACTGTAAAATCAAAAATTGAATAAACGACAAATTACAAAAACGAAGTAAACATTGAAAAAACAAACAAAATGAAGAAACGAAGAATTGTGAAATAAAATCGAGAAAATGATAATCCAAAAATCTAGAAAATGAAAGATAAAAATCAAGGACTTAAAAAATTGAGGGGACAATAAATTGAAAAGTTGAAAAATTATTATATTATTTTATATTTTCTTAGAGGATAAGTCGTTTGGCGAAAATCACTCTTATCTTAGCAAATACTAGCCCCGCCCACCCACCCTCTCTTTTCTTAAAGGCTTTCTCATTTGCCAAAATCAGTTTGATCTTAACAAGTACTAGCCCCGCCCACCCATCCTCTCTTTTCTTAGCGGCTATGTCATTTGCCAAAATCAGTTTTATCTTAGCAGGCACTAGCCCCGCCCACCCGCCCTCTCTTCTCTTAGAGGGTATCTCATTTGCCAGAATCAGTTTTATCTTGGCAAGGATTAGCCCTCTAAGAAAATAAAGGGTGAATTGGCGGTGCTAGTGCTTGCCACGATAAGGCTTATATTGCCAAATCACATACCCTCTAAGAAAATAAAGGGCGGGCGGGTGATTTTGACAAATGGAATACCTTCGAAGAAAATCGGGGGTGGGTGGGCGGGGCCAATACTTGCCGAGATAAGATTGATTTTGCCAAATGTTAATATGTACTTGCTACCATAAATCTTACCTTGGCAAATGACATTCTCTGAGAGCACAGGGGGCGGGTGGGCGGACCTAGTACTTGATGAGATAAGACTGATTTTGGCAAATAACATATCCTCTGAGAAAATAGGGGTGGGTGGGCGGGGCTAGTACTTGCTAAGATTAGACTTATTTCGGCAAATGACATATCCTCTGAGAAAATGGTGGGCGGGCCTAGTACTTGTTAGATAAAACTGATTTTTCCCCTATTAATCTTGTAAAAACTTGTTCAATTTAAAGGTGTTAAATTGCAAATTTCCATAGTAATGATTTAAATTCCTAAATGTAACCGAAATATTTTTTGCCAAAATCAGTCTTATCTTACCAAGTACTAGCCCCGCCCACCCGCCCCCTGTGCTTTCAGAAGATATGTCATTTGCCAAAATAAGCCTTATGTTGGCAAGTACTAGTTACTACTTAGTACAGAGTTGTGCATTAGTTACTAGAAACGTACTGAGAAGCCGATAGAAGAGATGGCCATGCATTTTTGAGCCAAAAATTCAATTGACCGTGTTTTTATTGCTCTCTCGGTATTATAGCGTTATTAAAAGTATCGAAATTAGAAAAAAAGCTGATTCTAAAATTTCGCAAAAATCTTCGAACAGATCTCTTATTATGTTAATTAGTTTGGTTAAAAAAATTTTCTCTTTAAAAAATTATACAAGTTGATTGAGATTTTTTTGTAATAACCTCTATTAAGTAAAAAATATGTATAATACCACTCTGAGGCGGATTCATAAACCACAAGTGTTGAAGTATATTATTTCCTAAACTTAAAAACAGACGGAAACGGCGGATTTATTTTTTCATACTCTAGGAATCATGGAACTTCGAGAAAACATGAAAAACAGACATTATTTTCAACCCTCTACCCTTCATTTTCTTAGAGGGTATGTCATTTGGCAAAATCAGTCTTATCTTGGTAAGTACCAGCAACATCCGCTCGCCCTTCATTTTCTTAGAGAGGTTATTTGCCAATATCAGTCTTATCTTAGCGGGTACTAACCCCGCCCACCCACCTCCTCTTTTCTTACAAAGTATGTCATTGGCAAAATCAGTTTTATCTTAGCAAGTAGTGTTTAGTAGGTTATGCTTTAATGGATTTCTCTTTTGTTGGTTTTGTTTTTGTTTCTAATTTATAAATGTCTTGTTAAATGTTTTTTTGGTTTATTTATTCTCAGTCACCATCGCTACTAAGAAATCAGAAAGTAAGCCGCATTAGGTGCGTGCAGTGTTGCCAATTTTGTTTTTATAAAATGACGTTTTTTTCGTAATCTACATCGTGAAGAATTTTTTCATTATTTTTTTGGGACTAAGGAAACCCCCGTACATAACGTACGGCACCCGGTATAGAAACATTTTTTCCTGCATTAAAAGATGTTCAAAGTTGAATTTTTTTAAATGCTGCGCCAAATTATATTACATCAATTGGAACAGAGTTGGTGGAAGGCAACAACGCTTGTCAAAACGAAGTACTCGCTGTCATTTGGCTGTCACTCTTGTCAATATCTTGGTTGAAATTTGAAGTTTGGAAATAAGACTTGTTGACAGAAAATTGTTGGGTTATGTTTATATTTGCCAAGCACGTGCACTTTTGCGGTGTTGCCACATTTCAGTATGTAGACATAAATTAACCCACCTGAAGATGTTCTAATAAGGCCCCACTGGTGTCGAATTGTGCGCTGCATTCGGCCCACCTGCACAGGCCCGACTCCTGCGCGTGCGTCGCCTTCTCCTTCGGCTCCTCCTTCTCCTGCTTCGCCGGCGGAAACCTGATTGTCTTCGGCTGCGAGAGGATCGGCGACTTCTGCGGCGGCACCGTGACCGCCTCCTCCACCGCCACTTCCAGCCCGTCCTTGACTGAAACGCCGCTGTCCGAGCTCTCCGCCGACGAGGGCGACTTCTCCTCGCCCATCCGTCGCGACAGCGCCTCCTCCAGGCGCGCGGCCTCCGCCTTCGGCTTGGCGGAGATGACCGTGGGCTGCGCCGTCTCCACGCTGAGCGTCGGCGGGAGCGCGTTCAGCTTGACGAAGGGCACGACGGTGGCGTTGAGCTTGACGCAGTTGAAGCTGTTGACGACCTTCTGCACGGGCTGGAGCACGTGCCCGAGGACGGGAATGGCGCCGGCGGCGGCGAACTGCGGCACGAAGAGGCCGTTGTCGGGCGGCTTGGGCGCCTTGGTGTGCAGGTACGTCAGGTTGGGCGGGAAGCTGAGGGCGGTGAGGGTCATGGTGTGGGCGAAGTTCACCGGGGGCTGGGCGAGGGCGACGGGGCTGTCGGGGAGCTTGCTGGGGGCGGGGAGGATCTTCCTAGGAACTGTAACGTGCGACAACTTGCGGCTCTTGGACTCGGACGACTTCTTGGGGGCGGCGCGCGAGTTCGGCGGCCTGATGCCGTTGAACTGGGTCTGCTGGTCGACTAGCGAGACGAATTTGGCGGTACTTACTGGCGGCGGCTTCGAGACGGGGTCTTTTTTGATCACGTGCAGTTTCACCTGCGACAACCACAAACACGAAGACGATATAGGTGTCGATCGCGCCGGTACTTTTGCTACACTCACCTGCGATTTGAAGTACTCCGTGATCTTCCCTTGCTTCGTCAGCTCGACCTTCTTCGACGTTTTCTTAACATTAACGGATTTATTGTTATCGTTAGGACTAGGGGTGGCGGCGGCGTCTGACGAAGCAAGGGCCGCGGTTTGTCCCTTGACCGACGTCGTCATTTTGTTGCTTAGGCATGGCGGTGATTGTTTGCTAGTTGTCGTCGTGTCCTCGTTGGACTTGAGTCGTTTCGGGAAGGCAGTCTTATCTAGTTGCATGGATCTCTTCGGGTTGATCGACGTGTTACTACTACATTCTTCCGTCGTCCACGGCCACGGCGGATGATGGGCGGTCTGTTGCGTTGGCGGCATCTTCGTGGAGGACTGCGACGCCGAGTCTTCGGAGTGATTAGACGCTGTGCTGAAAGGCGACCCGGGATCGGTGATGTCGCTCGAGGCTGTGCTGCTGCCGCTGCAGTCGGTGCAGCTGAGGACCGCCACTCCACTGCAACCAAAACATACATTGTAGTAAAATATTTACACGTGTAGTATACGCAATTTTCGCGAAAGCGGCAAATTTTACCGGCGCGGAAATCCGAAACAAACCGATTTATCGCCCGTGTATTGTGTGTTGCATACCCACTCTTACTCGCACGCTTATAATAAACAAATAAGTAAATAAATATTGCATTGTAATTTTATCTTCATAATATACAATAACAAGGCCATCACGAAGGCACATATTGCGTAAAGTGTACCGAGGATTATTTCAAACAGAGGTTCCCAAAATACGAGTATATACAAAAACTTTTTTCAAATGATGAAACATTTTTTCATTCTGTTTTTTAATTTTCATGTTGACTTCATATCAATAATTTATTACGTATCAGTTCTTTTCCACATATGTATATGACTGCAAAACCGAATGCTCTGAATTCTTGAAAACGTTTTAAGGTTATCCCAAAAAATTAATGACCTCATCACAAAATTTTCCCGAATAATTGTCAATAATTTTCTTAAACTGTATACTTTTATTACTAACAACACGTAGTTATAGCAAAATACTACGTAGATTTTTAAACTATCATCGACTAGATATATTAACAATTATATACTTCCAAATCTACCAGTTTCTAATATAATAATCTTCACAATACATTTTTGTAGGAAAGTTTGAATTTTGCAATTAAGCTCCGCCGCTCGGCTTACGACGAATAACAAAAAATCATCAGAATTGAGACAGGGTGGGTGGGCGGGGCTTATATTTAGCCTTTTTTTTTTCTTAATATGGATTTCCATTTTTCACAACAAGAAACTTAGAACATGGTTAAAATGGTATAAATGGGGCCTAATTGTAATATCCACATTTCTTTATACAGATTTTCCATTTTAAACATGTTTTAAGTTTCATCTTGTAGAAAGAAGTCTACACATATTAACACAAAAAGACAAAATGTCTGCCCGCCCACCCACCCTATCTCGATTGTGATGATTTTTTTATTCGCCGTGATTCAAGAGGGCGGAGCTTAACTGCAAAATACTTATTTCTCGACAAGAAATTAAAAACGTGTTTCTGAGTATCGTGTTTGTTCAAAGAATACTATGTATATTCAGAAAAAAAAAGACAAAATATTAACCCCTCCCACCCACCCCATCTATAATTGTGATGATTTTTTTTTCTTAGAAACTTAAAACACGTTTAAAACGGTAGTTTTTTGTAAATAGTTATTTACTTCATTACTATTTAGATCAAGGCAGGTATGGGTTTTTCTTAATATAAATAGTATTCTTTAAATAACACGATAGTCAAATTAATGTCTTCCATGGCAGTTTTTTGTAGAGAAAATAAGAATTTTCATTTAAATTCTAAAAAAAAAAAATCTCGACAATTAAGAAAAAATCGTCACAATCGGGATAGGGTGGGTGGGCGGGGCTTATATTTTGCCTTTTCTTTCTTAATATACACAGCCATTTATTCATAGCAAGAAACTTAAAGCATGTTTAAAATGGTAAATTCTTGTTGACAAATATAGATCTTTCAATTAAGGCCCACCCCTCGACGTATCGAGAATTAAGAACGGAGCGGGTATGGGCGGGGCCTAATTTTTGGTTTTATTTTTTCTCAATAGACATAGTATTCTTTGGACAACACGATACTCAAAAACATGTATTTAATTTCTGTTAGAGAAATAAGAATTTTGCAATTAAGCTCTGCCCCCTTGGCTCACGACGAATAAAAAAAATCATCAGAATTGAGATAGGGCGGGTGGGCGGATCTACATTTTCCCTTTTTTTTCTTCTTAATATGTGTAGATAATTTCGACAACAAGAAACTTAAAACATATTTAAAATGGTAAATTTGTATAGCGAAATATCGATTTTGCAATTACGCTCCGCCCCTCGGTCTGACAACAAATGAAAAATTCATCACGATTGAGATGGAGACGGATGGGTGTGGCTTCTCTTTTGGTTTTCTTTTTTATTTAATACATTTAGTTTTCTTTGTATAACACGAGTACTTGAGAACATATTTCATATGGTAATTTCTCGCAGAAAAATACGAATTTTAGAACTAAAGTCCTCCCTTCGGCTTAAGTTGAATAAAAAAATCATCAGAATTGAGATAGGGTGGATGGGCGGGGCTTACATTTTGACTTTTTTTTCTTAATATACATGGCCATCTTTTCACAACAAAAAACTTAAAACATGGTTCAAATGGTCCATTTTTGCAAGGAAATATGGATTTTGCTATTATGGGGCGGAGCCTAATAGCAAAATCGAAATTTCTTTATACAAATTTTCCATTTTAAACATGTTTTAAGTTTCATCTTGTGGAAAGAAGTCTACACATATTAACACAAAAAGACAAAATGTCTACCCGCCCGCCCACCCACCCTATCTCGATTGTGATGATCTTTTTTATGCGCCGTGAATCAAGAGGGCGGAGCTTAATTGCAAAATACTTATTTCTTGACAAGAAATTAAAAACATGTTTTTGAGTATCATACTTGTTCAAAGAATACTATGTGTATTCAGAAAAAGACAAAATATAAACCCCGCCCACCCACCCCATCTAAATTATGATGATTTTTTTTTTCTTAGAAACTTAAAACACGTTTAAAATGGTACATTTTTGGAAATGGTTATGGATTTTGCAATTGGGCTCCGCCTCTAAATCTGCCAACGAATGAAAATTTCATTACTGTTTAGATCAAGGCAGGTATGGGTTTTTCTTAATATAAATGGTGTTCTTTCAATAATACGATTGTCAAATTAATGTCTTACATGGTAGTTTTTTGTACCGAAATAATAAGAATTTTGCATTTAAATTCTAAAAAAAAAAATCTCGACGATTAAGAAAAAATCGTCACAATCGGGATAGGGTGGGTGGGCGGGGCTTGTATTTTGCTTTCTCTTTCTTAATATACACAGCCATTTATTCATAGCAAGAAACTTAAAACATGGTTAAAATGGTAAATTCTTGTTGACAAATATAGATCTTTCAATTAAGCCCCACCCCTCGACGTATCGAGAGTTAAGAACGGAGCGGGTATGGGTGGGGCCTAATCTTTGGCTTTATTTTTTTCATAATAGACTTCGTATTCTTTGAACAACACGATACTCAAAAACAGTTTTTTATTTCTTCTGGATAAGTAAGGATTTTGCAATTAAACTCCATCCCTCGGCTTACGACCAATAAAAAAAAATTATCACAATTGAGACAGGGCGGGTGGGCGGGGCTTATATTTTGCCTTTTTTTCTTAATATACATAGCCATCTTTTCACAAAACGAGACTTAGAACACGGTTAAAATTGTACATTTTTGCAAGGAAATATGGATTTTGCAATTATGAAGCGGGACAATTTTAAACATGTTTTAAGTTTCATGTTGTGAAAAGAGGTCTACACATATTAAAACAAAGAAGCAAAACGTAAGCCCGCCCACCCGCCCTATCTCAATTGTGATGATCTATTTTTATTCGCCGTGAACCAAGGGGGCGGAGCTTAATTGCAAAATACTTATTTCTTCACAAGAAATTAAAACATGTTTTTAAGTCCGCCCACCCACCCCATCTCAATTCTGATGAATTTTTTATGTTCAGAAACTTTTAAAACACGTTCTAAAGTAGTGGATTTTTGTAAGGAAATATGGATTTTGCAATTAGGCTCCGCCCTTAGGTCTGCCAACTAATGAAAACTTCATTACTATGGGTGGGGCTAAATCTTTGGCTTTGATTTTTTCTTAATATACATAGTATTCTTAATATTCATAGTATTTTTTGTATACGATACTCCAAAACATGTTTTACTTGGTAATTTTTTGTAGAGAAATAATAAAGGTTTTGCAATTAAATTTCCCTCGTTTGTCTCTTGATGAATAAAAAAAAAATCATCACAATTGAGACAGGGCAGGTGGGCGGGGCTTATATTTTGCCTTTTTTCTTAATATACGTAGCAGTCGTCTTTTCAGAACAAGAAACTTAAAACATATTTAAAATGGTAAATTTGTATAGCGAAACGTCAATTTTGCAATTAAGCTCCGCCCCTCGGTCTGACAACGAATGAAAAATTCATCACGATTGAGATGGAGATGGATGGGTGTGCCTTCTCTTTTGGTTTTTTTTTTATAATTAATACATTTAGTTTTCTTTGTATAAACCGAGTACTTGAGAACATATTTCATATGGTAATTTCTCGCAGAAAAATACGGATTTTAGAACGAAACTCCGCCCCTCGGCTTAACTTGAATAAAAAAAATCATCAGAATTGAGATAGGGTGGGTGGGCGGGGCTTATATTTTGACTTTTTTTTCTTAATATACCTGGCCATCTTTTCACAACAAGAAACTTAAAACATGATTCAAATGGTCCATTTTTGCAAGGAAATATGGATTTTGCAATTATGGGGCGGAGCCTAATAGCAAAATCGATATTTCTTTATACAAATTTTCCATTTTAAACATGTTTTCATGTTCCGAAAAAAGTACACATATTAAAACAAAACAAAAAAAAAATGTAAGCCCATCCACCCGCCGCCCTATCGCAACTGTGATGATTTTTTTATTCGCTATGAACCAAGGGGGCGGAGCTTAACTGCAAACTACTTATTTCTTTACAAGAAATTAAAATCATGCTTTTGACTATCGTGTTGTTCAAAGAATACTATGTATATCAAAAAAATACAAAATATAAACCCCGCCCACCCACCCCATCTCAATTGTGACGATTTCTTTTATTCTTAGAAAGTTAAAACACGCTTAAAATGGTAAATTTTTGTAAGGAAATATGAATTTTGCAATTAGGCTCCGCCCCTAGGTCTATCAACGAACAAAAATTTTATTACTATTTAGATCAGAACGGGTATGGCTTTAATTTTTTCTTAATATACGTAGTATTCTTTGAACAACAAATACTCAAAAATAACTTTTTAATTTCTTGTCGAGAAATAAAGATTTTGCAGTTAAGCTCCGCCTTCTTGGCTCACGATGAATTAAAAAAATCATCA